ACTTCGAATCTAAAAATTTGCTTTGACTATTTTTTAATAAAAAAGACATTTCATTTTATTCTTTTTTAAAACGAAATAACCAGAAATTAAATATCAAGTAAGAAATACTCATAGAAGCAAAACCAACAACGAAACAGATACCAAAGGACGGTGCTGTGACGAGCAATGCAAACGAATAGCAACCAATCATCAACGAGTAGAATGATAACAGAAAAGGCCTGATGCTCCAAGCAACAACCGCAAAGAGGGATATTGTTATGAACCAAGCCATAAAAAAAGCTACCCCATTTAACAAATAGAACCAAAGGAAAAGAGTTGGGTTCACGATCGATTTTCCCTCATTGTCAGCATCACCCTCCGAAATTAAACCTACTGGTGGGCTGAGAACAGCTTGGTAAGTCATTGTTAGAACCAGTGCAAATACGACTAGCAATGCATTCACCGTATCAAGTTTCATCTCCTTAATATACTTTCTAAAATTTTGAAAAATCCTCGTCAGACTACAAAATCTCCGGGGAGAATGAAGCAGAAATTTCATACTCTCCCTGCTGTCAACTAGAGTTTGTTGTTTTAAGACTTCCAAAGCCGTCAAACTGCTCTCATTAATCGTGTTCTTATCAACTTCCTCGCATCCTATTAACAGTTTGATCATCTGCTTAATATAAAATCCACAATTAATTGACAATATAATACATCAATGCCTCTTATTCCAAATAAAATGAATAAGATACCTGGGGTTGGTTATTTGATGCGGCTATGTGCAGTACAGTGTTTCCATCCTTGTCCTGTAAGTTCAGGACTCTTCTGATCTGAAACTCATCGTCTTCGGTGATCTTCTGAATCTGCTGCAGTATTTCTCTGAAGGCATCTACTCTGTTGTTTTGTGCCGCAATATGCAGAGCAGTCTGTTTTCGATTAGTCAAATCTAAGATACAATGGGGGCACTGACGTAGAAATTGAGACAGAAGATCATCATTTCCTTCCCTAACCACAAAATGAAGAGGAGTGTAGCCCTCCCTCCCTTTGACACGAACAAGATCTTTATCAACTGATAGGAGATCAGCTACCATCTTTTTTTGTCTTTTTGCAAGGCTAAGTGAATGGGGCTAAACCCGCCCTGGTTCAGCTTCCTAGCGAATGATGGATTTAAGTTCATCATCTCCATTGCAAAATCAGTGTGTCCTGCAGCAGCAGCTATGTGTAGTGGAGTATCCACAAACTTCCTCTTGTTGATCCGGTCCAAGACATCTGTGTCCTCTCCGATGAGCTTATACAAAGTATCAACATCACCCAATCGAGCAGCGTCCATCACCTTGTCTTCCGTTGAGGAAGGATGAATTGTTATGGCAACAACCTCTAGTTGTGCCATTGCCGAAGAGATCGTAAAAGCTCGACGATTGAAAGGGTTTAGATTGAGTTTAAAGTGATACAAAAGGGTGAGAAAGAAAGAGGAGACTTGCTTCCTTTATATAAGAATTGGCCTTGGAAATGGTTGACCTATATTGTCAGTCACGTTTTAAGATACTTATCACCATTCTTACTTAAAACCCTCGGGAATTTACCTACATAGTACATTTGAATGTAAAACATGAGAAAGATTCTCCCTTTATTATTTCTTTCCTTTTTGTTGGGGAATATATATATATATATATATATATATAGATATTTTTTCAAAAATAAATTTATATTAGATGAATTTCTTTAGATGAAATTTATAAAATTTTTAATAAAATAATTTAATAAAAAATTAAAATTAATTATTGATAGGAATCACTAAGAAAATCAATAATATGTAAAATTAAAATTTTCATTTATGGTTCAAATTTGGTTAATAATGATTCAATAATAAACATTTTATAAACATTTATAGTAAAGACTTTTCACACAGTTGACCACAAAGTATAAAATATAAAATTTAGTATGTTGTTGTTATTGTTGTATAATAAAAATAACCATCTAAAAAAGATATCAATATTATTAATTTTTTAAAAATGTGCATATACTTCATCTATATAATAAAATCTTTTAATTTATTGGTTTGAATTTTATGTTTGAATTTTCAGTTAATCATTTTTAATAAAAAAAATCACAAAATTCACTTAAAAAACCCATTAGTAAAATTTTTTTTAAAGAAAAAAGAGCAACAACGAGGGCACTAGATCCGAATTTCAATGAACACCTTCTTAACAAAAGGATCAGTAATATAATTGATTTCCTATGTACATGAACAAAAGTAATATTCCCCACCTTTGGGTATAAATTAAATACAACCTACTAAAAGGAACATTGTATTTACTTGAACTTACAAGAACTTAGAAAATATAATAGATTGAGTTTATTACCAATACTAAATATACTAATAAAAAATATTTAAAGGAAAATAGGCTAAGTGTAATTAAGAACTGTCCAATATTGGTGATGCCTCTAGTATTCTTCTCTTCTTCAATTCTTTGGTTTGTTGCCGTGATCTCCTCCTCAGGTTTTCTGCAATTCAACATTTAATTTAATTTAATTTCCTGGTTCAGTATGATTTTCTACATTTTAATTCTTTCTAAGTACATGCATATTCCTACTTTACTTTAATTGCTTCACCTTAAAGAAAAAGAACGATTCAAACTAAAGTGATTAAGATGAAACAATCTAACTAGAAGACAATCTTCATGGAAACTCCTAAAATGCTCTCTTCTTTTTCTTTCTTTTTTTTTTTTTTTGTCGTACCATCCCATAACCCAAACCTTAAGAAAAGAACTCAATAATTTACTTGTGTTGCCCGCAACCATATGTTACTAAAAAGTTTTATACTATCTATCAACCCTCACGATGATCTTCCAAAGTGCTAAATTATTTTATGAAACGCTTGAAATTTTAATTTGGATGTTCAGATTTGAATTTAGAAGTAAAAAAAGTGAGATCATGACTAAGAGATGATTATTTTCTATTGTACAACTACAAATCACATGCACAAAAAGATTCTTAAGAATTTAATTGCTAATGATGTTATTGATAATGTCTTAAATAAGTCATGGCGTTTACGTTTACGGTGAAGGACTTGCAAGACAAACATGAAAATTGAAGGGAATTATACATCATTATGTAGAGTTAAAGTAGTGAAATTTTAAAAATTTTAATTCCCTAAAGTCAAGATCAATCCCTAAGATTTATAAAATACAACTTCATAAGCAAGCATGGGTTTCGGCTTAAGTAGTTAGTTTGGATGCCAAAATTCCTTTAATTGAATTTAGTGACCTTCAAAATAGTTTCCTAAGCCAAGAAGCTGCCCAAGTGTTTAGTCTCTAATGGTGATCCATACAAACTCTTGTAAAAGAACCTTTCTTTAAGGTTTGATAGAACTTAAAGCCACACTCTAGCTAGTAAGTGTTTGCAAGTCCTTTTGTATTTTCTTCAGTGAAACTTTTTCTCTTCGGTTTATTCTTGTTTCTTCTTTAGTTCCTTCTCTTACAAGAGGGTGGCGGCTTGATGTTCCTTTTATAAGGGAAGCATTCAGGCACATTAAGTTTAATGTTTGGAATGCAAATTTTCACAATTAACTTTATGCTTGTCAAATGTATCAAATAAGGGAAACTCTTTTTTTTTTGTTTTTATTTTCTCTATTTTTGGTCATATCAAAATCAAATTGAGTCTAACTTAGTTTGTCTCAATTTTAATCTTTCACAATTGTCATATTGTATGTAACCCATTAGGTTCTTTAGCATGTTGGCAATAAACACAAGCATTGTAAACCTTAGTATTTGGCTATGGATGAAATAGACTTTTTGTTTGCATCACTAATTCGTCAATTAGCTAATCTTATATTTATAGTCTAATCAATGTTAGTTTCATTGACATGACCCTCAATTGCAAAAAAAAAGTCAATATGATTTGACAACCTAACCATAAATGGTTTTAGTACATAATTAATATCATTTCATCACATAGTATCTTGGTTTGAACATTGAGTATAGTTTAGTGTCTATTCAATTTTGTTCAATCATGTTAAGTCTTGTTCTTAACATTAACTTACAAATAAGCTTTAAAATAATTCTAAAATCTTATTTCACTTTGGCCAAATATTTATGAAGTTAATCCAATCAAGAGTAGTTGAAATACTCTTTAGATCACACAAGGTGATAAATCTCATCTTGATTACTTTATGCATCTTCATGTGCCTCATGTTATACCCAATAATACTTGACTAAAGCATTATTGATTAAAACTATAAGTAAAGTAAAGTCAAAATATAACATTTATCATATAAGATCATAAATAATTTTAAGTCAAATGATCACTTATACAACTATCACATGAGAATTTAGTTATAGAAACTATGTGAACTATTATTTAGCATTCTCATATCAGGTCATGTTCAATTAACTTATTCTTATAAGAAGTACCTATATGTTAGCTCAAGTTTAACCAAATTTCAACTTATGAGATTGGTTACTTGCTTTATAAGTAAGAACATTACCATGTACTAGAATTAACAACTTTTGTCAATGTCCTCTTATTAATAAAGTATCGATCGGGAACAATTTTGAAACATATAGCATTTATGCAATAATGATCTCATAATTATAATCTCATTGTAATTCCCTTGCAAATTTTTATTTATATTCCGAGAACTTTGTTATATAAGCATCAACATTAAAGTATAATTATACAAGTTCAATAATAAAGAAATAAGATCTTTATAAAAAATCAAATATCAAAATACTATAAATATGACAATATCTTAGCTAAAATATAATTCAACTTGAAGAGCAAATACCAACAAATACTTAGTTGCACATTTGTTTGATTACAATTAATTAATTAATTAATCAATTATTTTCTTTTAAAAATTAAATTAGAAATTGAAAGAAATTATATGAAGGGAAAAGAAATCAAAACATTTCTTTAATTTGTACAAAATCAGAATCACAAAATAGATAATATTATATTATCCCATTCACCTTAAAACACTTGAATAAAATACGTTATTTGGTGTTTCCAATCATCACATCTTAAACACATTCAGGACAATCCACCAGAAATTGGGCTAAAAGATGAATGTTCCCTTGTTCAGCCACGTAATGTAAAAGATTGTCTCCCTCCCTCCCTTTGACACGAACCAAACCCTTATCTGCAGCCAAGAGACGAAGCACAATTTTCTCATTCTGCAAAGCTAGGTGAATAGGACTATAGCTATCTTTGTTCAGCTTCCTGGCAAATGATGGCTTTATGTGTTAGGTCAAAAGGCTCTAATTTAATTCACGTCAGCAAAAATATAATCAAACAATGAATCAAACACACAAGAAACAACAATTTAACGTAGTTAGGTTCAATCGACTTACGTCCACGGATGAAAAATAAGATCTATTAGTTGTAAAGAATTACAAATAAATATCAAATTAAATCAAACACCCATAACTAATACCCATAGACCCTTTCAATTTCCTCTAATCTTATAAAGTATTCTTAATCCAAACAAACACATCCCATGTGCACCTTTTCAACACAAACAAATACATACCTATATGTATCAATTCATTATATTTATGTGGATCCTCTCAGTCTCCTCTAATCCACTTCCATGCACCATACAAATATATACACCCATAAAACATAAATCTTCAATAGTCTTATGGGGTGTCTATTCATAAAACCCTACAACTTTCTTATATTTTTTTCTCATACCTAACCCTATAAAGACTTCACCTATTTATAAGCATACAAACTTGTCTATTAAGAATCTCTTTTTTCTTAGAATTCTTATTTTGCAAGTTAAACTTACCTTTTAAAAATCTATTTTCTCTTAAAATTCTTTTTTTGCAAGTCAAACTTACTTATTAAGAATCCCTTTCTTTTAGAAATTTTCTTTTACAAGTCTTCTTGTCCATCAAGCAATATATCTAACAAATTTCAAACAAATCTATTATGAAATCTGAGTCACTATTCCTAACATTATGTTCATGATCTCCATTGCAAAATCATCATGCCCTACGGCTACAGCTACATGCAACGGAGTATCCACGAAAGGAGCTTGATCAATGTGCTCCAAAATGTATGGATCCTCCTAAATAATTGCATACAAGCCATCAATATTGCCTTCTTGAGCAGCCTCTCTCAACTTGTCGCTCAAAGCCATAGCAAGAGAACTGTAAGAGTGATAAAACCAGGGAAGAAAATTTGAAAAAGGTCTTACTTGTTTGTCTGTTTATAATGACGAAAGATGCAAGAAAAACGTTCGTTTAGCATGTAAAGATTCTAATGGGATCTTTTTATAGGACGAATAATTCTCCTATTACATTTAATTTTGTCCACAAAGAATGAAAAAGGCAACTGATTTTAATTTTCGAAACTTCCTGCGGGTTGGTCAAATTTGTTACTTTTGTTATGGATTAAAGACATTTTTTATTTTCTAATTACTGTCTTTTTAATCAATTTGTTTGCCATTTTCTAAGAAATTTACTTAATCTTATTAATTTATATCTTTCTCAGTCTCAGCAATAAATTTCTAAATTTTGTCTTGGAGTGGTGACAGATTTCCACGATATTTAGTATCAAAAATTGATAATTAATTCATCTACTAAGAAATTATTGTCTTCTATTGAAAAAAAAAAAGAATATTTGTTCATTCTGAAATTTGATAAAAAATACATTTACTTTCTTTTAATTTGTAAAACATTTTCTTATCCGCAATAAACACTAATCTCATGAGATGTTATTTACTAAGTTAATCTTAAATAAAAAGGCAAATATACCCTTATTAATTATTAATCCTTTATTTCTCTGTTTGTTTTTGTTTTAACTTTCTTTTTTTATTGAAGACTCTTTTTTTTTAATTCTTTTCTTTTTCTCTTTGCTGCATGTAACTATGGATGACTCCATTTTTTCTCTGTTTCTCTTCTCTCCTCCAACTTCTTTGACACGGTCTCCATTTGCACTAAGAAAAAGACAAATCAAATAAAAATCCCATACATTTATCCAACAAGGAAACTCTCAACTACCATACCAGATGTTAGATCAAGCTTAATAAAAACTAAGGTCATATTTAATATATAGGATGATGGATAAAATAAGATAATAATCATTTTATATTATATTTGATTTATATCTAAAAAAGGGATAGGATTACAAGAAAAATTAATCATTTTCTTCATATAAAATGATTTAATCCTCCCATAAAACCCTCCAATAGTAGGTTTTGTCTCAATATATAGTTGTCCCATTTTTGATAAATATGTTATCTTCAAGTGAATGCATACATAAAGTCTAATGGATCGCTTGGAGTACATATTATTAGTTAACTTTTATTAAAAGGGGAACTGCATTGTTGTTTTGTTACAATTAACAACAATTTAAGTTGAGGTAGATATCATCGAATTGGCCAATAAATTGTAAGTTAAGTCAAAGTGTTTAATTCATAAAATTCATAAAAAAAAAAGTCCAATTGTATTAGTTTTGGTAAAATATTGCTTAAGGACAAGACAAAAGCTGTTTAGAAACTAAAGCATTCCACCCTCTAATAGTAGGTTTTGTCTCTGTAGTTGTCCATTTCTAGATAAATTTGTAATGTATTCACATTATGTCACATGAAAGACCATAATGCTATAATATATAAAGTCTATGGATCGTATTCAAGTTACGTTTGACACCTAAGATTAGTTGAAAAATAGGATAATAATCACCCTATCACATGTTTGTTATGCGTTAAAATAAAAGAATTGGATTTTTAAAAGGATTAAATATCATATGCTAATAAGATAACTCTATCTTATAGAAAAATAGGAGATTGTTTTCGATCCATAGGATTAGATAATTTATCATAATTTCTAAATAATAAAATTTTTATTTTACCCTTAAATTTAAAAACTTAAATTTTAAATTATCAAATATTTAGAAATATTATTGTTTTCGATCCATAGGATTAGATAATTTATCAAGATTTTTTAAAAATGAATTTTTTATTTTACCTTTAAATTAAAAAACTTAAAATTTAAATTATCAAATATTTAAAAATATTATCCACTCTCTAAATTTTCTTTGCTTTCCATCAATGGAGAAAACCCATTTGCTCTCCATGAAAAATTGCCCTCTGTTTCTCAACTTTCTAACCCAAGAGTGATTCCTTTTACCTCTCTTCATCAATTTTTCTTTTAGATTTTTCACTATCAAGTGAAGTTTTTTCAATTTTCTTTCAGATTTCTCGATAATCAAGAAAACCTTATATTTTGATTTAGTGGATGGAATATGAGCCAGCTTTGATTCCAAAGTCTAATATTCGTTTGCTTGAAGTGCTTTCTCCGCCTATGAATAAACATGATTGAAGACACAAACTTACGACTTTACAACTTTTATTTTTTCAAGAAACAAATAGGAAAATAAATTTTAGATTTGACCCAGGGAAAAATTAGGCATTGTTTTGTAGAATGTTCTATATGTTCAAGTCCTTCTCCAAACGCAGAGGAAAACACCATCGGCAATCAGAATGTTCTAACTTTAAAATCAAATTAGTATATAAAGGGAAAACTTGACCAATAAAAAATATCATTCTATCCAAATCTTAATCTTGCACATAAAAAACATGATAAATGATAAAATAATATTTTATCTTGTTCTTATTTCTTGCATACACCAAACAAAACATAAGATTATATAATTTAATCCAATCTTATTTATAATCATATATTATCCTATCATAATCTTGTGTACCAAATATAACTTTAGTACATATTATTGGTTAACTTTTATTCAAAAGGGAATTGCTTTGTTGTTTTGTTACAATTAACATTAATCTAAATTTTTTTTCCCTCTCATTGTGTTTTCACTTGGTCCATTAGAGGATACAAAAATATATTTTTTTATTATTTATTTAATTATATATTTATTATATTAATAAATTTATTATTTAATATATTAATATAAGAGATTAAGTTAATAAAAAAATGCCACATTTATATAAAATTAAGATATAATTTATATTAAAAATATTATTTTATAAATATTATTCTAAATTTAAATTATTAAATTAATTTCAAATTGAGACTATCATAAGAGAGTTTGACATATACGTGTAATTGGACTCCGATATCAAAAATAAAAATTTGATGTCAAATCGAAATGAAATCAGATGAAATTATAAAAAAATAAAAATTTGAACCGAAATCAGAGGAATATAAACCTACCAAGGGGACAAGCTGTTTCCAACTTAGAAGATATATCGATTACAATATGTTTGATTTCTCTTACAACTGTCATTGCTTTTGGTTTTTTAATCAATTTACCTTTCCATTTCCATTTATTGTTTTCTTCCAAGCAACAGAGACTCTCAAACTGTCTTATTTCTGTAGAAGGAGAAATTTTTTATCCAATCATGAAGTGCCACATGTCTAATAATTTTTTAATTAATTAATTAGGGAATTTTCAAATGATATATATATATATATATAAATAAGTATTAAACTAATACTAATATACCACATCATAACAGCCACTAGGAAAAAAATAATGAAGGAAACTTGCAATTCTCACTTAGGCGATGCTAATCACTCTTTTGAATTTGAAATATTCTATTTGAATAAATTAAAGATTTAAAATTCAAGCTTTAATATGGTCCTAGATTTTAGGCTTGCACTTATTCACGGAGTAAAATAAAGTTTTATACTTGTAATTTAGTTGCAAAAATAAAATAAAATTATATATTAATAGTTTAAATATTGAACAATGTATAAAAGAAAAATAGTTGTATAGCTATTTATATTTTGAATATTTACATTAGTTGAAGTTAATGATGATGAGATATTAAACTTATTCATTAAAAACTTGTTTGTTTGTCATCATCATTGAATCATAAAAGAATAAGTTACCTTATTTGCAACTCAGCATTTAACATAGAGAAATATACCTAAACAAAAAGTTCGACAATGAAAAACAAACAAAACAACCCATTATATTATCCACAGCGATGGATAGAGAAACTACTATGTTTTCATATTCTAATAAAAGGAACATTAAAAACCAAATTTGAATCCTTGGTTGTATTTTGGTATACAAAAATAGATATAGGTAGGAAAATTAGAAATATCAATAAGCAAAACAACAGAAGTCAGACATGTGGATAAATAGGAGAAAAGAGATGATGTCAATGCCCAAATTTATTCTTTAAAGTTTCCTTTCCACGTGCTTCTTATTGTTTTCATGAAAATGCTATTACGTTCTGAAATTGATTGTTAAGAACTTTATAGGCAAAGAAGAAGATATCAACTATCAATTACCACCAGGATTCTACTACATGGATTAGATATTTTAAGGCCATTTGACTGATAAGACATCACAACCTTCTATAAAATTCTATCATTTAATTGAATATAAAACAACTAACCTAATCTTTTCAAGGAAAAATAGGCTTTCCATGTAGGAGCTCAGCAAAGAGGCAACTAACAGACCATATATCAACAGTTGGATTATACTTTGTTGCTTCAAGAAGCAGCTCTGGAGGTCTGTGAAAACGACAAATAATGGAAGTAAATGCTGCAGTAGTTAAAAATTATGATTGCATTTCTCATGTTTCTCTTTAAATACGTTCCTAGGTGGTTAGCATACAGTTCATCACGGGGAGTAAAAACACATACCTGTACCATAAAGTAATAACATGATTTGCAAGATTTGCATTGTAATCATTTGAGAATGAGTGAACAAGCCCAAAATCTGCAAGCTTGAGGTTACCCTTATTGTCTATAAGAAGATTGGAGCATACAGAAAAGAACAAGTACAGCCTTACTTTGAATTTCATAATCAGGGACAAAATCATTATATTAAACATGGGAATAGCTGGTATGTAGGTAAGAACCTTTGATGTCACAGTATAGTACTTGATTTACATGACAATAGTGAAGCCCGGTAAGAAGTTGCCTTATGTAGCACTGGAAGAAAAGGTAGTATAATTAGAAGAATAAAATTTTTTACAATTGAATGCAGAGTGTTTTTCTTTTTGCCTAAAAAAGAAGGATACTTTAATTTGGGGAACTGAAAGAATACCATGAAACAAATCAAGGATAAATTAGCAAATACAAATCAAATGAGGAGAAAAAAAGGTATAATGACAAAAATAGTAGCTAAAAGGCCCATGAAAATGATCAGAACCTGATTTGGCAACTATAAAAGAAAAAGGGCAGTGATTACTATCTTATAGATCATACTTCCCCTTTGTTTATGGAATTACTTATTATTCTAAGATAATTAAGGCATCTTTTAGTCTGATCACACAACAAAATAGAAGCTTATATCTTCCAAAAAAAACTTAAAGAAGAGCCATCTGCTACTACAATTGAGAATTTCTACTACATGTCCAAAAATATAACGTCAAATGACTCGCTTAATAATCCAGACTCCGCCAGTTATAAAAGCTACCGCTGGTTTGCCGCACCAGATTGCATCCCTAATGTGAGGAGGCCCAAATGCTGGTTCTTGAAGAAATGATGACTTATGTTCTAAAGGAACTCCAAGCAGAAATGAGGATGCCATAACACCCCCTAAAGCACGCAAAAGTTGCCCTTAGTAATCATAAATTGCATATGCATTGCCTGTCAGCCTGAGCTGTGATGCTAAAAGGAATCAAATAAGCAATTAAAGTAGATGCTTCTCTTACCCTTATTCGTGAGAGAGTAAAGCTCAAGGTAGGTTTATAATATATATATATATATATATATAATTTCATATGCATTGCCTGTCAGCCTGAGCTGTGATGCTAAAAGGAATCAAATAAGCAATTAAAGTAGATGCTTCTCTTACCCTTATTCATGAGAGAGTAAAGCTCAAGGTAGGCTTATAATATATATATATATATATATATATATATATATATATTATAAGCCTACCTTGAGCTTTACTCTCTCATGAATAAGGGTAAGAGAAGCATCTATTACACGATTTTGACCCTTTTCTAATAAATCAGAAGGTATATTTGCAACTTTTAATTTCTGCAAGTAATGAATTCCTCTTCGTCCTATTGCTATGCCTGAGCCTGACATGTCTGCCAAAACATGCAGATATTAAATGAAGAAGAAACTTAACAAAGATGGCTAAAACCCTTCTTTGATTTGATGGGAAAAGCTAAAAGAGTACGAGGGTTTTCAAACCCTTAAAACAAACAGCTGGAGACACGATCTGTTAATCAATTTTTATCTCCAAATTTAACCTCATTTTGTTTTAAGGACATCGCTAAGGTATATGTTTAAGACACAATGGGGATAGTGTTTATATTATGTATAGATTCTCTCTACTTGTCCTAAATTTTTTATACCAAACAAGTAATCTTGATGGCAGTTATGCCACAAGAATAGTGATTTTTTTTAAAGGAATTAATGGTATACATTGATATATAAAATGCAATAATAAATTCCACAATATGCTAGGGTAACATTGATTAGAGTGTTAATTAAATAAAACTCCAATTCACTTTAAAATTTTTAAAAGAGAAATCTGGATCAAACTTTTATTCTTTTCTTTATTAAGTTATACAAGTACAAAACTTCCAAAACCTACATGAACAGCTCTATAAAGTTTTAATAATTTAATTGTTAAGCATTGCATATCAATAATTTTGTGGTTTTGTTTGTGTACTATTTTTAAGTGTTGAAAAATATATGGGAATCTTAGATGAGTGTTCTTTTGTAGATATGCATTTATGTTTGAGTTTGATCATTGTAATCTTCTTTTTTTATATTGAATTTCTTCTGGCAATTACAATAAACAGAGGAGTGCTTTTTCTTCTCACAAGATTATTTAATTTAGCATAAAAATTTAAATGCTACGACAATTAATGAGAATAAATCAATTCAATAAAAAAATCATGATTATTGCATGTTAGTAAAGTCAACCCCCTTATAATAGTAATTTAGTGCATAAATAATAAAGACATGATTCATATTAACACATTTAATAAGTTTGAAATTATTTCAGCACCTGCAATTTTTTATCTATACTTAGACTGAAAAAAAAAATCCTTGCATAAAAAATTTAGATAAATGTAAATAAATATAATTATATTTTATTTAATTTGAGAATCCAAAAGATCCACAAATAGAACAGAAACTCATATTATTATTAATTAAAAATAAACAAGTTGAATACAAACTGACAATATTAAACATAGACTTAAAATATTTAGCCTGATTTTTGTCTTTTTTTATCCATTTAAAGAAAATTGATAACAGAAGTTAACGGTGCCAATGGATGCAAAATCTATACTTGTTAAAAGTTGCCCTCATATGGAAAAGGTTCATCCATTAGCTTCTGTCATAAATTTTTTTATATGGATAAGACGAAAACGTCGCATCCTTTCTTTAACTTGCATTCTTAACGAAAAAATCTCCTCAATTTGGGAATTACTACTGGTGCAATAGCAAGGTAGATGACATAGGCGAGGAAATAGACACAACAAAAAAGAATTTTGCTGGACTGATCATTTGGTGCTACGATAATCAGTGCAGAATCCAGGAGGCAAAAGAGTAACATCGACAGGGATAGCATGAGAACGAACGAGAAGAAACCACTAACGAGAGTGAGGAGAACGAAACAAGTTAGGAGGAAAGAAGTAGAGAAAGCCACCATGTTTGGAATAAAGAACCAAAGAAAAGGTTGCGTCCGCAAGACTGATGAACCCGCAGTGTTATTTGCTTTGAATTCGATTTTTTCCACTACATGATCACTGGCGTTTTTGGAACCTAAGTAAATTTGCAATCCCGAAAATTTCTGGTCTTTGGATTCAGCATTGGCCTGAAGAACACCACCAGGGGGGCTTAGGGTGGATTGATAAGTGGCTGTAAGAATCAGTACTGTTACTACTAGCAAAGCGTTGCCCCTGTCAGCTGACATATTTTTTATTTCATATCCCCATTGACTAAGCAGCTCAAGAATAAACCATGGTATTTTGCGAGACGATGCCTTCAGACCCCAAGGATGGCGTAAAATGTCCATACAATTCTTGATATGGATACTGTCTCCTTGAGTTCGGCCTTTTAAGATATCCAAAGCTGTTGAACTCTTCGAATTCTTAGCTTTAATGTCGATCCTAAGATCTGTTAACAGCCTGATAATCTACATCAAAAGAACAACAAATAAACAAAGTAAAATATATTGAAGAAAAGGAGATTAAAATGATTCTCTTTCACTTAAAGAAAATAGAGTTCACCTCTGGATCTGGTCGGTCGTTCGACACTGCTATGTGCAACACAGTTTCGTCATCTCTGTTCTTGGAGTTAAGTATTCGTTGTTTCTGCAACATGCTACACTTAGAGGTTTTCCTAAGCCAGCGCAGTAGAACTGTAAGAGCTCTTGGGTTGTTGTGGGCTGCTACATGCAGGGCAGTTTCATCTCGACTTGACACATCATGAATACAATCAGGGTAAGCATTGAGAAACTTAGTCAACAGAACACGATCGGTTTCTTTCATGACCAAGTAATGGAAAGGAGTATAACCCATCTTCCCTTTGACACTGACGAGACTTTTGTTGATTTTCAGCAGTGAAAGCACCAATAGTGTGTGCCCATTTTGCAAGGCAAGGTGTAAAGGGCTCAACCCATCTTTGTTCAGCTTTGTAGCAAATGATGGCTGTAAGTACATCATTTCCATGGCGAAATCAGTGTTTCCTTCAGCTGATGCGATATGTAGTGGAGTATCCACAAACTCCCTCTTATTGATCCGCCTTAAGACACCTTCGTCCTCTCCGATGAGTTGATATATAGTACCAATATCACCCAATCGAGCAGCACCCATCACTTTGTCTTCCGTTGAGGGAGGATGAATTGTTATGGCAACACTCTCTGGCTGTGCCATTGCCGAAGAGATCGTAAAAGCTCGACGATTGAAAGGGTTTATATTGGGTTTAAAGTGACACACAAGGGTGAGAAAGAAAGAGGTGACTTGCTTCCTTTGTACCAGACATGGCCTTGGAAATGGTTGATATACATATTTGTGTCACCTTTTAAGATGCTTATCTTCATTCTTAGTTAAAACCCTCGAGAATTTGCACCTATAATACATTTGCGTGTAAAACGTGGGAGAGATTCCCCCTTTATTTTTTTTTTCCTTTTTGTTGGAGAATATATATATATATATATATATGGATTTTTTTTTTTGAAAAATAAAGATAACTAGATGAAATTTTTTTTAGATAAATTCATGAAGTTTTTTTTTTTTTCAATAAAAATGATTTAATAAAAAATTTAAACCAATAAATTGATATTTAACATAACAATTCAATAAAATTTTATAGCAAAAATAATTATTTAAAAAATATATCAAAATTTATTAATTTTTTTTAAAATTTTATCTACTAACTCTATATAATAAGATATTTCAATTTATCATTTAAATTTTTAATTTTAATTTTTATTAATTAATATTTTTATAAAAATTTTATGAACTTCACTTAAAGATTTTATTTATTAATAATAGACAAGTATAAAGGAATCAATCTCATTCATGAATCACGGTCTCAATCTCATCCATGAATCATGCTTGTACATATTTATTTTAGGAGTTAATTTTATTAAATTTGTAATAAGGTCCTGCTCTTGAATAAATGTATATACCTCCATCAATTCATGTGTGCCTTTTCATACAACTTCATTATTACTTTAATTAATAATATAAAAAACAGAGTTAGAATTGAGTCAATTAGATTCGAAATAAACACAGTAATTGGCTTCATATACACGAACAAATTAAAAAAAAAAAAAAAAATTCCCCACCTTTGCATATATAACCTCTTAAAAATATCATTGTATTTTCATGAACTTTCAAGAACATAGAAAAGATAATAGATTAAGTTTATTACTAGTACTAAATATACTAATAAAAACTTTTCAAAAAATATATTAATAAGAAAGATTCAATAGGAAACAGGCTAAGTGTAATTAAGAGCTGGTTCAATATCGATCATGCCTCTAGTATTCTTCCCTTCTTTGCTCGTTGCCAAGATATTCTCATCAAGTTTTCTTCATTTCAACACTCAATTTAATTCAATTTCCTGGATTAGTATTATTTTCTACGTTTTAATTCTTAATTTGTTAAGTAACTATTTATTGACACAATTTTACATATTATAAGTGTACATTTTCGAAAAAAATTTTGGATTCATTGCTGCTTTGTGGGCGACATCAAATATGGCCGTCTTAAAATTCTTATTCTTTGTAAGTGCACGTGAATTCGTACTTTAGATTAGTTGCTTCACTTTGAGGAAAGAATGATTCAAAGTGATTAAGATGAAACATGCTAACTAGAGGACAATCTTTATGGAAAGTCATCCTAAAATTCTCTATCTTTTTTTTTTTTATATATATATTGTATGATCTCATAACCCAAATCTTAAGAAAAGAACTCAATGATTTACATGTGTTGTCCATGATTATGATACTAACAAGTTTTATAGTATCTATCACCTCTCAATTTCAACATGTCGGCTAAATTATCTTTTAAGAGATGATATCTCATCGTTTAGAGCTCAAAATTTTAATTTGAATGTTTTGGATTTTAATCTAAAAATAAAATTTGAGATTATAAATAGGAAATGATTATTTTCTATTATACAACTCAAAATCAGATGCACCAAAAAAAAAACCTTTAGAATTTAATTACTAATTATGAACTTTATTATATTAATTGCGCAAACATGTGAGTACTAATAATACTTTTTTGGGTCAACTGTCAATAAATGTGTAATTTATTAATAAAACGTTGAATTTTTAATTTCAATTATTAAATTTCAATTTTTGACAGTATTAATTATAATAAAAAATGGTAAATTGAGGTAAACTTATTAAAATCAATAAGCAGACGAAAAGAATAAATAATTTTCGAGTCACAATAGTAATCCAATTCAAATGAGTCGGCCAAACTTTAATTTGGCATTATGTTAAATATTGGTATATTACCTTTTTCTTTTATCACACAACATTACCTCATTTTTTATTATTCAAAACATTTTTTTAATTTATACAAAATCAGAGTCACAAAATAGACCTTATTACATTATCTCGTTCACATTAAAACACTTAAATAAAATACATGATTTGGTGTTTCTCTTGAAATGACAAAATATCTTTAAACTTCTTCAACCATATATTTCTTGATCCTTTGTGCATGTCCCATGACTCTTAGCATTACAGGTAAACTAAGAAATGGAAGAACACCAAATATTATCACAGCCGAAGTGGGTGATATGTCAAATGTAGAACTCAGGAGGCAAAAATATAAGAGAAGTAGTGGCACTAGAAGAAGAGTACTGATCCCACTAGCATGAAATGCGAGAAGCCAAAGTGTTAGAATCAATGTGATGATAAAAGCAATGGTGTTTGGGATATAGAAAAAAAGAAAAGAAGTTGAACTCAGAGCCGATTTCCCTCCCTGCGACACACCACCGGGAGGGCTGAGGGTGGCTTGGTAAGTGGATGTTAGAATCAGGACCAATATAACTAGAACTGCACTGCTCCTTTCAGCTGACATATTTGTAATATCATAAAACACTTCACCGAATGCTCTTTCAAGAAATGTAATTTTTGATCCTAACAATTCGTGTAAGGATTGAGCTCTTGGGGTCAATGAAGCGTTCAAATCTTCGGCCTCTAGTAGAATGTCCATTGCCTTTCTTTTTGCAGATTTGCAAACTGGGAGTTCTCGTATGACATCCAATGCTGTCTTACCTCTGGAATTGGTCTTATTGATATTAACTTTGGAATCTAACAACAATTTGATCATCTGCGTAATAGACATATAAACTCAATATTAATTAATTGAATGACAGAAAAAAAAAGGACAATTGAATGAAATTTCACATGCTATGGCACCAAATGGAGTATCACGAACTGCCACTGACAAGTTCCAACACGACTCTAGACCATTCTCTATTACTGTTAAATTTTAGGACAGATATCCAACCTAAAACCAATTTCCAATAGATCGGGAGGTATCCTTGTTATACTTATTTGACAAAAATGTTTCCAATTTAACTGATGTCGAATTTACTTTTATTATTATTTTAATACTTCCCTTCATGTGTAAGAACAACGACCTTATCAGTGACATAAACGCTAAACATAACAAACCTACCATGGAAATTTGCAACAGTTTGGTAATTTTGTGGAAGATTTTTTTACTCGCTTTTGATAAAATTAAGAAAGTTGGAATCATTGATTAAGAGAAAACTAAATTTGATTAGTTATAGCGCAAGAGAGTTTTTGTACCTGAGGTAGATTATTAGATGCAGCTATATGCAACACAGTGTCGCCATCTTTGTCCTTCCAGTTCAAGAGCTTTTTCCCTAAAGAAGAACTGTAGAAATAGGTCCTTCTAAGCGATTGAGTCAGGACTTGAAGAGCTTCAAGTTTATTGCTCCTTGCAGCAACGTGCAAAGCAGTCTCGTTTAATATCGTCACGTCCTGAACACAGTCAGGACAATCCACCAGAAATTGGGCTAAAAGACGAAGGTTCCCTTGTTCGGCCACGCAATGTAAAGGAGTGTAGCCCTTCCTCCCTTTGACACGAACCAGACCCTTATCTGCAGCCAAGAGACGACGTACAGTTTTCTCATTCTGCAACGCTAGGTGAATTGGACTATAGCCACCTTTGTTCAGCTTCCTGGCAAATGATGGCTTTAAGTTCATGATCTCCATTGCAAAATCATCGTGCCCTGCGGCTACAGCTACGTGCAATGGAGTATCCTCGAAAGGAACTTTATCAATGCTCTCCAAAATGTATGGATCCTCCTGAATAATTGCATACAAGCCGTCAATATTGCCTTCTTGAGCAGCCTCTCTCAACTTCTCACTCAAATCCATGGCAACAGAATTGTAGGAGTGACAAAAGCAGGGAAGGCAAATTGAAAAGCTCTTACTTGGTTGTCTATATATATATAGCCAGGGCCAGTGCTTGCGGAGATTGACCGAAGTTTAACATTACTTACTTATTTCAAAAGCTTTACTTTTTGTTATCCAATTATGCTATAATTAGATTTTTTTTTCTTATGAAATTAGTAAAATAAGAAATTACAATCATAATCAAATAATATTATATTTTTAAATTCTCATTAGTTGTATAGCTCATGTACATTTCATGTCGATCCTAAACATGATTGGGAACCATAGCGGATCCTTTTTTTTTTTGGAAAATATTCATTTATAATATATATATATATATATATAAAGTTGTTGATAGATTTATTAATTTTGTCGACAAAAAATATTTTAAAAAAAAATTTTGAGAGTATCTACTACAAAATTTTCTTTAAAATTTTTTATATAATAGTTCAAAACATAAATCCGTCCCTAGTTGGGAAAGAATATGTTACATTTACCCTTCTTAGAGTGGGTATGAGATGTGCATGAAATGATTAAATAATATTTTCTATATAAGAAATCAATAAATTAAATCAAATAGACAAATTAACTAACATATAATTAGATGAATCTAACATAAAATTTAATCAAACCAATGCACAACAAAACTTCAATATAGGATCTTAAAATTTTAAGGTTTATTCCTTACTACTCCATTGATGTATTGGATTTGAATTTAGTGTTCTCAATACGATTTTGTTTCTACTTTGATTATATTTTTATCAATATTACTTAATTACATATGTGCCGGTGTCCTCAAGACAAAATTTTCGACTCCATAGCTGTAAACACAGTAATTTAAATTTACATGTGAACATAGAACAAATAATGACGAAAGAAGCAAGAAAATCGCTCGTTTGGCATGTAAAGATTCTAATGGGATCTTTTCATAAGACGAATAATTCTCCTAATACACTTAATTTTCTCCACAAAGAATGAAAAAGACAACTGATTTTGATTTCGAAACTTTCTAAGGTTGGTCAAATTTGTTACTTCTGCTATGGATCAAACACATTTTTTATTTTCTAATTACTCTGTCCCTTTAGTCAATTTGTTTCCCAATTACCAAGCAATGTACTTAATCATATTAATTTATATCTTTCTCAATCTCAGCAATAAATTTCTAAATTTCGTCTTGAAGTGATGACAACTATCCACGATAGTATCAACGATTATAATTAATTCATTTGATAAGAAATTATTGTCTTATATTGAAAATAAAAGAATATTTGTCCGTCCTGAAATTTGATGAAAAATATATTTGTAACCATCTAATTTTATTTGGAACGATCCAAGTTCATCAATTTTTATGCTTGATTTGGGCAATTCAATTTGAGTCTATTCAAACACTTTAATTGAATTTATATAATTAAGCTCATTTGAATTTTATCCTAATTTAATTATTTTTTGATATTTTGTATAGGTTAAGATTCGACCCAATTTAATTTGGATCAACTCAAAGTTTAATTATTTGAGCTTATAGGCTTAAAATACAATATAGATCCAATTCAATTTTTAAAGCCCAATCCAATTCCTTTTGACTTAAAGCCCAATTCAAATTATTTGGGCTTGAAAAACCCAATAAAAGTCCAAAATTAATTTTCAAGTCCATATCCATTTTGTTAGATTTTAAATTAATTAAAAAAAAAAAGAAAAAAAAAAGTGAAAATTGATGGGTGAATTTTAGGTTCACAAAAGCTTTTCCCTTTGCTTTCTCTCTACCCAAAACCTAACATTGCACAATTTCCATTTCCAACTATCCCCTATTTTTCCCTATGTTTTACCCCTATGACTTTAACACAGATAATCAAAGACTCACTATTTAAAATTCTACAAGCTCCATCCATAACGCAGCAAGCAATTACTGTCCAATATAGCTACATTCCAAAATTTTTAATTATCTTTTTAGATGGATTTGAAGATTTTTAGAAGGGATTCCTAATAATCATGAGGGAAAAGACAAAAAGCAAAAATGAGGATGTTGAGACAATTTGAAAAAAAAAAAAAAAAAGGTCAAACCCAATTCTCTCTATCACCACCAAAACCTTCAAGCTTCAACCAGAGACTACTCTTCTCCAAGAATACCCCCAATTTCCTATAGTCTCTTGCATCCAAAAATCAACCACAACATAACCCCAAAACCACCATCCTTAAAACCCTTAACCCTCACAGCCGATACCCCAAGCCTTTCATGGTAAAACATATTCTCCTTATTATTTCATAATTCACAAAACCAAAAACCACCCATTCCTATTGGAATTGGTAGAACTGAAACCCTTCAGCCACCCTCGACACCTATGACTAAGACCTTACCTATCACCAACCTTCCTTAATCAACACCACCACAGACCCATTCGACTTCCCTACACCTCTATGAGGCCACCCACAAAATACCAAAGCCTTGACCCTTCACATTGTCTAAAGTCAAAACCTCTCAAGCCAAATCAATACAATCGAACCCCTTGTCAACAAAATAATCACCCTTGCAAAAGAACAACAAGAAAATTCAAAGTCCACTTAGTAAAGAACCCAACCAAACAAAAAGAAAAAACAACACAATAAAAAAATAGAAAAAGACTAAAAGTTTCAATTTTGGGTTTGGCTGATTTTAATGATGGGTTTGGAGCCATCAAACAAAAAAACAAAATAGGACAAGTTAGAGACAAAAGAAGCTAGCAACAACAACATGAGAAAGAGTTTAGGTGATTGTTAAAAGGGGATTTGGCTTTCGGTTCTTGGTAAAAGAAAATGAAAGAAAGAAAAGAAATAAGAGAAGATCATTGGACAATAGAAAAGAAAAATAAAAGGAAGAAGAAGAGAAAGAAGGAAGAAAGACAAAAAAAAAAAAAAAGATAAGAGGTTGGTGTAACTAGTAAAGAAGTAAAGAAAGAAAAAAAAATAAGGAACTATTTGACAGCCGACAGCAAAGGATAACGGTGGTGATCGATGACAGACTGCCAACATTTGGCTTTAAAGAAGATAAACTTTTTTGCTTAACATTATGTTTGGATTGAAGAGAGGGTGTAGACACCCAATTATGTTTGGGTTCAACTTTTGTTGTTGTTATCATCTTATCATCATCATCATCATCATCATCATTATTATTCTTATCATCATCATCATTATTATTGTTATTCTTATCATCATCATCATCATTATTATTATTTCATTTCTTTCTTTTTTCTTAATCTATTCCAATAAACAAAGAAATTCAAGAGGAAAGGAATCATATCAATTTTCTAGAATCAAGCAACAAATTGGCATAAAACCAACAACTAAATCAAAATGATTTAAAGCCTAAGACTATCAGTCAAATCAAATAGAATTTAATCTCAGGATTCAAGCCTGGACTAAATCAGTTTAAGTCCTAAAATTTCTACTAGAATCGACTATAAATTAAGTGCAAAAATCATATGAAAGGACAAGAAAAAATGAAAGAGAGTCTAGGTTTTGGGTTGATACTATTTGGTTGATTTTGTTTAGGGTTAGTTACAATTTAGGTTTTTAAGTTTGCTAAAGAACTAAAATTGTTTGCAATCTTTGAAAAATCTAAAAAAGGGGAATTTTTTAAAAAAATTTGGGAAATTTCTAGAAAATTTTGAAAATTTCTGAAAATTTTGGGTTTTGGCTTAAAGGTTTGAATTTTTCAATTGAATTTTTTGGTGAACTTTAAAGTTTCCTATCGAATTTTGACAAGTTTTCCAAAAATCGATGATCAAACCCAATTTTTGACGGCTTATTTTGGGATTTTTAAAAAGAAGGCAAAGCAAAAAAATCCTAGAAAGAGAAAAAACTAAAAGATTATGGAGAAAAGCTGAAACCTTTACGTTTATACTAACATCGAACAACGCCGTTTCATTAAGCATAACCTGCATCCCAACCCACATGGATTCGTACATGACCCACTTCTAGACCCGACCCAATCACAGGTTTTTCTTTTTCCTTTTTCCTTTTATTTTTCAATTATATTTTTATTTATTTTATTTTTATATATTTTCTTAGTTATTTTCTATTTCATGTTACTTGTTTTTTTTTTTTTAGATTTTTAAAGTTATTCTTCTTGTTTTTAAATTAAATGATTTATTTTAAATACTTTCATAAATTTTATCTTTTAAACAAAGAATAAAAATAAATAATATATAATAAAAAAATATTTTTAAAAACGAAGTCATGAATCTTACCAAACTATTGGAGGTTTATTCATGAATTTAAATTTTTTATGAGTTCTACCAAATTATTAGAGAATTTTATAAATTGATTGCAAAAAAAAAAATTATTATTAAAATATTTTGTATTTTTATCCTATCAAACTATTGTAGGATTTACATCTTAAATCTTACCAAACTATTAGAAGATTTAGTATATTTTCTAAAAAAAATAAATTTACAAAAAAATCTTACCAAACTATTAGAAGATTTTACTAATTATTTTTTTTAACTAAAATTTAAATGAATTCAATGACAGAGCTTCTTCAAGATGGGACACTAGTATCTATTAATATTCTTGAGGTGAGACAATTATCTTAAATTGCTACCAAACTATTGGAGTAATTTTAAAATTAATTTTTAACATTAAATATTTTGGTAAATCATAAATATAATTAAGACTTGGATAATTTAAAATCAAACTGGTACCATTCTTTGGATAAGTGCTATGAGGATGTTATAACCTTCTTCACTCCTAATCACACTCTTAAATCTAAAATCTAGTTTTGTGAACTAAAATCTACTATTTAAAGATACCTAAATCAATCTTGATATTCCTCTTTGAATAGAACATATTCAATTAGGTGACCAACCACATCTAAACACAAAAAGATTGGTAGTGACTCCTTTAATCCATGTCTAGTGATAAGTTCACAGATCTATACGTTATGACAATTTAAAGACTCCACTGAAGAAATTGAGAGTTAGGCCAATAAATGATTTCCTTTTATCCAAGCC